GATTCCGCGATAGTTCATGCATAAAAAGTGCTTATTATTCTCTACACTCTGTAATTAATATATTCGAACTATGTGAAAAAACGCTTTGATCAGTGGCAGTGCCACAAAATCCTACAATCCCTACAATTTATCATTTGATATTTGAGTTTATATTTTACACAAAGGAATTCATTGTCCTGGGGTGTCTGTTCATTGACATATTTGTTTCACGTTTTCGCCGCTTTTTCGCACAGTTTTACTCATTGTTTACGGGGACAAAATAAGAATACACTTACGACAATCAATTTCTTCAGTCTTGAAATGTTTCTCGCAAACATACAGCTCGCCTGTGTCGATCTGGCGACGTAAACTTTTGTCCACAACTCGATCCTTTGTGATGACGTTCAGCCAAGCCTCTCGAGTTCTCGTTGATAACTCGTCTTTGCCAGACGGAATTCGAAAGATTCCGAGCCCAACATGCTTTCTGCTGGTTCCACAACCAAATATTGAGCAATTAGCTCCGGGCATTGTAAAAAATATCGCCAAACCAACAGCTTTTTTCGTTTCGCAACATATGGTAATTCAACACTCTTTGTATAGAATTACTATGGACGATTGTTTACAAAATGCACGAATGCCCTATATGTTCCACGTGACCAAAAATCCAACATATTTCGTCACGTGACCCAGCCTTCCAAACCCGGTCAGTATATATTAACTATGGTGACACTATCACCGCAACTGTGTCACTGGCTGTTGAAATTTAACATATGATGTTGGAATTAAACTATATTGTAGTGCCTAACAACATTGAAATCGGGGGAGGGGGTTTGTCTCAAATATTTTGTGGACGATTGTCTGAAAATTGGGGAAAATCAAGCGCAGGTTTTGGCTATTTACTGCATAATATTTTCTTTCGCAGCGCTTATGTTAATGTATACGAACAAAATTTGCATAACATATTTTGACTACATGTAGTATACATGCCGATATACAAGTATTATATTATGCGATAGTTTGTCCAAGTTAAGTATCCATACCTTGCCGGCAACTAACGTTCCTTCGCAAGCTTGCCTTCGATTCGAAAAAGATATATCGATAATGAAGAATGAATATCATGCAACCATCGCAAATCAAGATTTTTCTATTTTAAAGTACTATGTAAATTCAAGAACAACGCCAACATGTAAACAACCTCGTTCGCAAACTGGAAATTAGCCATTTGGATTAGTTTAATTAATGTATATGCATGGGCTACTGTTTCCGCTCCAAATTCAAATTTAACAACGCGTTACCACGCGTTACCAAGCGTTACCATACGTGTTGCCACTAATATCAAATAGTTATTATTGCTACAATAAAACTTCCGCAATAAAAGTGTTATTTCTAATGGTTCAAAACTACAAGATCGATATGCAAGCAATGACTAACAATTCGTTACCATGAGTTGCGCACGCGTTACCACGCGTTACCATCTTTTATTTTAAAAAAACTACTATATACATTTTATTAAAAACTTGACGGTAACGCGTGGTAACGCCTTGCTTTATCAACAAAATACCATAATGAATAGAATTACTAGGCGTTAACGCGTATGGTTATCCGAGACAACGCATGGAAATGCATTGTTTTAGTAATAGAAAAGCCAAATAGACAATTAGTACATGGTAACGGCAATGGTAACGCGTGGTAACGCGTGGTAACGCGTGGTAATGTGTTCTGTTCGTAATAGAAAAGCCATATTATAAAGCATTAGTACATGGTAACGCATGTGGCAATGCGTGGTAACACGTTGCTTTAGTAATTTATATTTCAAAAGCCATATTAAACATTAGTTTATGGTAACTTGACTAAATTAAAACTTTGACCTCACCAAGTAATCAAAAATTAATTAATAAATGGTTATAGTTTCATCAACATTCAATTATCCATTGATTAACTTGAGTAACTAAAGTATTATTAATCCATGTGAAGTTATAGGACTTTCTCTAGGAAGTATGCACGGTTAATTCTCTAACTTAACGGTCCGATCCAAGGATGTACTCGACAGCCCCCCCCCCCATCCGGCTCAGAAGAAGACTTGATATGGTACCATTATACAACGTAGAGATCTTTGTATGGGCCTCACAATACTATCCAAATTATAGTGAATAGTAAGACGCTTCTATTACGTCACAAAAATTCCTTAAATATTTAATCCTTGCCCCCACACCTCTCCGCACATAACATGATTTCAAATAACTTCGAGCTGCTGCCATCTAAGTTTTCTTAATTTCTAATATAATCGTCTACCAAACAAATAGTGATATTTTTTGGATCTCTCCCCCATTAATTTCTTTTATATCTCCCCCCCCCGGGTCGACCTGGCAGTACTGTAGTATTCTATATGTGAACAATAACCCGAATAGTATCATCTACAGTGACTACTACACATGCACACAAAGTGATTTCAAAAAAACTTCGAGATGCTTTTAACTAAGTCTTATCAATTTTTAAGACAATCGTCCACAAAATATATTGAGACTTTTTAAATCAATCCCCTCCCCCTTATTTCAATGTTGAAACCTAGTGTACTTGTCCAAAACGAACATAAGGTGACACTAGCACCGCAACTGTGTCACTGGCTGTTGAAATTTAACATATGATGTTGGAATTAAACTATATTGTAGTGCCTAACAACATTGAAATCGGGGGAGGGGGTTTGTCTCAAATATTTATACAATGATGAAATAGAGCGGGCCCAATCCAGGAGCTTAAGAATCCTTGGCCTGGAAAAAGATTACCTACCACCGTTGAACGAAAGAAGGGAAGAGGCAACTAGTCGAGAAGTTGATAGGCTTATGAACGATCCACACCATCCCTGTCGCAGTGTTTTGCCAAAATTAATTAACAATCAGTACAATTTAAGGAACATTGACCGGAATCGCAATATATCATTCTTCTCAGGAACTGAAAGGCATAAACATTCATTTTCAGGTAGAGCTTGTAAATATGTATAAATAGTTTTAACTTATTAGAAGAACTTATTAGATTAAAGAATTTATTAGTTTTAACTTCTTAGTTAGTTTTCTAAATTATCTTACAACAATTTGTAATATAAAGACATATCCGCAGCATATATACTTTCTTAAACAAGTAATTGTAAGTCCATTGTACTTTTTTATCTTAAGATGGATGAATAAAGCTATTATTATTATTATTATTATTATTATATTTTGTGGACGATTGTCTGAAAATTGGGGAAAATCGAGCGCAGGTTTTGGCTATTTACTGCATAATATTTTCATTGGCAGCGCTTATGTTAATGTTAACGAACAAAATTTGCATAACATATTTGGACTACATAGTATACATGCCGGTATACAAGTATTATATTATGCGATAGTTCTCCAAGTTAAGTTAAAATCCATACCTTACAGGCATCTAACGTTCCTTCGCAAGCTTGCCTTCGATTCGAAAAAGATATATCGATAATGAAGAATGAAAAATATGCAACCATCACAAATCAAGATTTTTCTATTTTAAAGTACTATGTAAATTCAAGAACAACGCCAACATGTAAACAACCTCATTCGCAAACTGGAAATTAGCCATTTGGATTAGTTTAATTAATGTATATGCATGGGCTACTGTTTCCGCTCCAAATTCAAATTTAACAACGCGTTACCACGCGTTACCACGCGTTACCATACGTGTTACCACTAATATCAAATAGTTATTATTGCTACAATAAAACTTCCGCAATAAAAGTTCATTTCTAATGGTTCAAAACTACAAGATCGATATGCAAGCAATGACTAACAATGCGTTACCATGAGTTGCGCACGCGTTACCACGCGTTACCATCATTTATTAAAAAAAAAACTACTATATACATTTTATTAAAAACTTGACGGTAACGCGTGGTAACGCCTTGCTTTATCAACAAAATACCATAATGAATAGAATTACTAGGCGTTAACGCGTATGGTTATCCGAGACAACGCATGGAAATGCATTGTTTTAGTAATAGAAAAGCCAAATAGACAATTAGCACATGGTAACGCGTATGGTAACGCGTGGTAACGCGTGGTAACGCGTGGTAATGTGTTCTGTTCGTAATAGAAAAGCCATATTATAAAGCATTAGTACATGGTAACGCATGTGGCAATGCGTGGTAACACGTTGCTTTAGTAATTTATATTTCAAAAGCCATATTAAACATTATTTTATGGTAACTTGACTAAATTAAAACTTTGACCTCACCAAGTAATCAAAAATTAATTAATAAATGGTTATAGTTTCATCAACATTCAATTATCCATTAATTAACTTGAGTAACTAAAGTATTATTAATCCATGTGAAGTTATAGGACTTTCTCTAAGAAGTATGCACGGTTAATTCTCTAACTTAACGGACCGATCCAAGGATGTACTAGTCAGCCCCCCCGCCCCCCCCCTCATCCGGCTCAGAAGAAGACTTGATATGGTACCATTATACAACGTAGAGATCTTTGTATGGGCCTCACAATACTATCCAAATTATAGTGAATAGTAAGACGCTTCTATTACTTCACAAAAATTCCTTTAATATTTAATACTTGCCCCCACACCTCTGGGAATTAAATTCTTCCCCCCCCTCCTCCCCCCCCCCCCACAGCTATTGTGCCGCACATAACATGATTTCAAATAACTTCGAGCTGCTGCCATCTAAGTTTTCTTAATTTCTAATATAATCGTCTACCAAACAAATAGTGATATTTTTTGGATCTCTCCCCCATTAATTTCTTTTATATCTCCCCCCCCCCGGGTCGACCTGGCAGTACTGTAGTATTCTATATGTGAACAATAACCCGAATAGTATCATCTACAGTGACTACTACACATGCACACAAAGTGATTTCAAAAAAAACTTCGAGATGCTTTTAACTAAGTCTTATCAATTTTTAAGACAATCGTCCACAAAATATATTGAGACTTTTTAAATCAATCCCCTCCCCCCTTATTTCAATGTTGAAACCTAGTGTACTTGTCCAAAACGAACATAAGGTGACACTATCACCGCAACTGTGTCACTGGCTGTTGAAATTTAACATATGATGTTGGAATTAAACTATATTGTAGTGCCTAACAACATTGAAATCGGGGGAGGGGGTTTGTCTCAAATATTTTGTGGACGATTGTCTGAAAATTGGGGAAAACCGAGCGCAGGTTTTGGCTATTTACTGAATAATATTTTCATTGGCAGCGCTTATGTTAATGTTAACGAACAAAATTTGCATAACATATTTGGACTACATAATATACATGCCGGTATACAAGTATTATATTATGCGATAGTTTCTCCAGGTTAAGTTAAAATCCATACCTTACAGGCATCTAACGTTCCTTCGCAAAGCTTGCCTTCGATTCGAAAAAGATATATCGATAATGAAGAATGAAAAATATGCAACCATCACAAATCAAGATTTTTCTATTTTAAAGTACTATGTAAATTCAAGAACAACGCCAACATGTAAACAACTTCGTTCTCAAACTGGAAATTAGCCATTTGGATTAGTTTAATTAATGTATATGCATGGGCTACTGTTTCCGCTCCAAATTCAAATTTAACAACGCGTTACCACGCATTACCACGCGTTACCATACGTGTTACCACTAATATCAAATAGTTATTATTTAGATAGATAGATTGTTTGTTGCTACAATAAAACTTCCGCAATAAAAGTTCATTTCTAATGGTTCAAAACTACAAGATCGATATGCAAGCAATGACTAACAATGCGTTACCATGAGTTGCGCACGCGTTACCACGCGTTACCATCTTTTATTTTAAAAAAACTACTATATACATTTTATTAAAAACTTGACTGTAACGCGTGGTAACGCCTTGCTTTTTCAACAAAATACCATAATGAATAGAATTACTAGGCGTTAACGCGTATGGTTATCCGATACAACGCATGGAAATGCATTGTTTTAGTAATAGCAAAGCCAAATAGACAATTAGTACATGGTAACGCGTATGGTAACGCGTGGTAACGCGTGGTAACGCGTGGTAATGTGTTCTGTTCGTAATAGAAAAGCCATATTATAAAGCATTAGTACATGGTAACGCATGTGGCAATGCGTGGTAACACGTTGCTTTAGTATTTTATATTTCAAAAGCCATATTAAACATTAGTTTATGGTAACTTGACTAATAAATACTACAGTTATATGGTAACTTGAATACTACAGTTATATGGTAACTTAAATACTACAGTTATATGGTAACTTGACTAATAAATACTAATATAAACAACAGTTCATGCTATAAACATCTAAGTTATTGGAGTCGCGATATAGACAGTTCAAAATCACTTCTAAGGGATAATACATTGACCTAAAATGAGCAATTGCTTCGAATTACAAAAGAACAAACTCATCTGGAATGGCGACTTAAGCGAATTAAAGTCCTACGTCGCAGAAAAGTTAAACATAAATGGTAAATGGAAATCACCATCAGGTGGACGCTGGTTATTTACTAGCGATGCTTTGTCTATAACCTGGTATTGTAAAAGCAAAACTGTCTTATTTCAAGGTCCTCGTGGCAGCGAAGTGGCTGACTCTTTGAAGAAAAATATCGATGCATCGCGAATTGCAATAGTGAAAGATGCCGAGCTAAACATTGCTACCCCTGCTGTTTCCGAAAGACGGAATGAATCTATCGATAACCAGTGTAGTCTCAGTATTAACAATTCTAACTCGAACATGTTTGATAGATCTAGTAATACCACAACAACTATCAACCGAAACGACTCGGATGCTAGCGAAGGAAAAGCAAATGAGCAAGAAATGTGTTCACACAAGCAGAACGAAGGCGATTATATAATGAATTGCAAAGACTGTAGTAAATTATCTGTAGAAGTAGCAGAAATTAAATTGGACTTGGCATTATTATTCCTAAAAGTTAATACTGCTGAAGTTCCCGCTACATGTGAATGCAATCGGCTACGAAGCGAAAATCAGCTATTGAAACAAGAAATTAAATTACTCAAGGAAACGCTGCACGGCATGGAATTGTCAAAATCGACAATTATATTAGCATCGCTATCGATAATATGAATAATCAACCAACCATCACTGACAATGACTCTGTCGTACTAATTGATATAGAAGAATCTGAAGTTAACGTAAACACTAATATGAATAATTTACCATCTGCGACAGACAATGAGAAACAATATAATACCCGAGGGCCAGTTGTTAATGACTCTCTTACGAAATACAGAAATCCCAATAAACCAGCCGTCCAAGACTCCCTGACCTCATTCGACCATCTCCTGAAAGAAAAGGCCGCCTTAAACGCCAACATGCATCGTCATAAGAGGAATCAAATGCAAAATTCTCCAACTAACACAACGCATTTCTCGAAACCTAATTACCGGCGCAATCAGGCCGCCTTAAACGCCAACATGGATCGTCATAAGAGGAATCCAATGCATAATTCCTCAACTAACAGAACGCATTTTTCGAAACCTAATTACCGGCGCAATCAGTTTTCCGAGCCTAAACATCAATATCGTCAAGCAAATTTTCCCTCGAAGATTTTTCGAAGCGGTCGCTATCGAAGGTTTCCGAAACCAAGAACAACAGCAGACAATACAGATACAAGAGCAAGTCAAATCAACCCGGCATACAAAGTGAATCCTTTCCAATCAAAGTCAGAGTTACAGCTTGGAGAAACGGAGTCCTGGGAAGCTTACCTACAGCTGGTCAATCGCACCTTGGACCAGTTTGGAACCTTCGTTTAGGCGCAATCCAACGGACAAGTGATAATTATACATCTCAGAGAAGTGTAAATTTTAATAATTTAATTAACATTAAGACTAATACAAACCCCACCATTGGAAAGTCCTCAGTCCCGTCCTTCCTCTTGTCAAATGTATGCCATATAACAAATAAGGTAGACGAATTAGCTGCTGTTGTATCGATCTATGACCCATCCGTGGTAATGATAACTGAATCTTGGCTAAGTGATGATATCGGTGATTCCTCGGTTAAGATCGGTAATAAATACAACATATTTCGTCGCGATAGAAAGTCTCCTGGCGGTGGAGTGATCGCCTACGTGAATAATTGTTTACCAGCAGAGCGTATGACTCACCTCGAAGAAGAAAACAAAGAAGTGATATGGTTGTTGTTAAAACCCCCCAGAACCCCTAGACCTTACAGTACAATCGTTGCCGCTGTTGTGTACTACCCTCCTGGTCAATCCGCCGAACAAGCAATCGATACGAATGAATACTTAACTACTTGTATAGATAGTCTCTTGCGCGAAC